CTGGGACTAATAGCATTCATTGCGCATCGATTTAATCGGTTTTTGAACGAAAATGAGATTTTTTTCGGCTAACTTTACGCTAATTTTTGTTTCTTTGTTTATAAAAATTATAAATAAACAAATATTGATATTAGACCAACAATGACCAACAAATGATTTAAAGAATTTTGAAAAAGACGAAGTTGGCCGACTAAAGCCAACGGCACACGATACGATTTTTCCTACTGGATTGCTTACGAGAGCCAATCAGGATGCAGAGTTTTAGATCAGGTGACTCGAAGCTAAATCCTGGTTGGCTCTCGTAAGCAATCCAGTAGGAAAAATAGTACCGTGTGCCGTTGGCTTTCGGCTGGGTCTACATAGGATGTCGTAAGTCGTGTCGGAAGAAATTGACCAATCACAGTTCATTATTCTTCGATCGTAAGGAGAATAATAGATTGTGATTGGTCAATTTCTTCCGACACGACTTACTACATCCTATGTAGACCCAGCCTTAGTTTCCGGAGGTTTGCCTGGCATTGTGTGATAGGCTTGACGGTATTGGTTGTTGGGGCCAATAGGAGCACGTTAGGCATGTAACGCGACAAACCTTGAGACTCGCATTGTAGACCTTCGCATTAGTAACGATTTTTAGGTTACCTAGCCTACTTCGTATAAATCCAGCTTGAGCTACGCATCCGTACACTTCGACGAAATGTCCAGGAGGAATCTCGGGGACGATTATAGAAAAGGTTTTGTTCATTTTATCTATTATGCTGCCGTTAAATGTAGATAACGCTCGTTGCAATTCGACGCGGACGTTTAGAACAGTTGTCCCCGCACGGAAACTGTACGTCGTAGGATATCTACTTCTATATAAAAGATTAATAGCGTATCAACTAATCACTCCAAGATTGATCTTTAGAATATGATATCATTATTTGAGAGATATTAATCTACCTCTGATCGCTACGACTATTTCCAGTTTTTCACCACTAACGCATCACGGAGAATGTGTTTCGATCAAAAGTGCGAGTGTTGTTGCTTCTTGCGTGTCACAAAGTTTTCGAGATTTAATCCCTAACGCACCCACATGTACATTAAAAAGCATCTTGTAGTATTATTTAAAATAAAAAATAAAATTTTAAAAACTTAATATCTGCATTTTATGAATACATATATATATATATATGTTGGAAAAAAATACTATATACCATAATTATAATGTATACAATTTTACAGAATTTTATTATTTCAACTTTACCTCACAGCTTGAAACAGCTAATTTCTAATTGTTGAATTTGTAGGACATGAACACTGCATTAAGCATAATCCGCTTAAAGATTTCCGGTTAAAAAGTCAACTTTGTTTAACTTGATCTGAACTTTGCCAGTGTTTGACGTTGTCAGGGTCAAGTGTCTACAGAACAGAGGACAGGAGGGAGGATGACAGAGGTAGGGACCGCTCGCCGCTCAGAGCCGAGGAACGTTCCGATACAGAGGATTGCGATCAGTCGGATGGGAAGAAACAAAAGTTGGCGTTTGGCTTTGGAAAAAAGACAAGTGGCAACGAACAGAAGAAGGGAATTCAAATTAAATTAGGTTCTGCATCTGTAAGTAAAGTATTTGCGCTGATTTTGACGGTCCACATCTTTTTGCGATATAAAAATCTTTTTCTTTCGCACAAAGTCCTGTTCTTATATAAGAAACTCCTCTGTAGCAGAAATCAACTGTGAAAGCAGCACCAGTTCAAAAACCGACGGTAGCCTCAGTGTTTAATGCGGACGATGATGAAGAACCGGAGGAGATGCCAGCAGAAGCGAGGATGAGGATGCGAAATATCGGGCGCGAAACACCGACGTCAGCCGGGCCGAATTCCTTCGGCAAGACAAAACAGGGGTTCTGCGACTCAAAAAAGATATTCGAGAAAACGCTAAAGAAAGCGATGGAGGAAGCAAACAAATGATTTTGCATATGTAATTGTGTGCGTGTGTGGAAAAATTACTTATATATTAATTTTAAATGATACACTAGAAACTTTATTCTCTTGCTGAAATGAAATACAAGTATTTTTATGAAATGTAACTCATTGGCAGAATTCAGATTTTAGCTTTTGCTTCAACTTAAGGCAAGTGTTAGACGATACGTGCGCATCATGTACAATAAATCTTTATCTAAATTGTTCCGATGCAGCTTGACGACAGTTTTTTCTCGTATAATATAACTAAATAGCCTGTTACCAAACTGCGTTACAATGAAATACTGCATCTACACTTTACTCATCTCTTTCTTGAAATAAAAATAATGTTGATCTGTGTCGAATAAATGAAGCATCTCGCATTGGTTTTGTGCATTTTATTTTATATCGAAATTAACTTTACATGATAAAATTATTTCCTGTTCTGTTGGCCCTGGCGCAGATCCTGGAAATAAGAAAAGTGGCATATGTACATAGGCATTATGCTACAGATTTTATAATTACAAAAATATTTAGGAGCAAACTAATTCCAAGCATAAATTTCTTTAAAATCCTATCAAATGTTTGCTTATAGATTTTATTACCAATATTAAATTCATTTGAAGTTAATAAATGCTCCCAATTTCAATTTGGAAACATCAATTAACAAGTGCTTAATGTATTTTTCTTATTAGCCTTGAAAATATATTTAATTACTCTTGGGAAGTTGCGGACAGGAGGCGTTCTTATGCGACGATCTGCCTTGGATCTGTTCCGCACCACTTTGGAGTGAATGGCGCAAGAGACACAGTAATGAAGCTTAGCATATAACTTGGGCAGCTGATACGACTGATAAAAGCTGGCCTCTGTTATGTCCCTGACAGCAGCAGCCTCAACAATGTTGCGGATGACAAACTTCTTAATGGCCTTGTCCTTGGGGACGCAACGAGCGCAATTGGTGCAACGGACTGGATTTACATGGCCACGGCCATGCTTGGCACGTCCACCATTTCTGCGTTTGCAAGTCTGACAAATAAACAGAAATAAATTAACAAATTTCAACTCCTCGTGAGTCAGTAGCAATAAATAATGTATACTCGTCGGTCACAACTGAAAAATTTACTAGAGTTAATATTAAATTCACGTTTCGACCATTGATTCTTTCCAAGTGAAACTAACAAGTCATGATCCTAACAAATAGTGAATAGGATTATGACTTGTTGGAACTCACTTGAAAAGGACCAAAACCACAATGGTTGTAGATTTAATATTAATTCTAATAAATTTGCCAGCTGTGGTCGACGAATAAACAGCACATCTGAAACACAATGGGCATAAGCTGTTTGTGGCAGTACGGTTCACACATAGAATTAATGTGTTACATTGTATTTAACATAATATAATATATTCAGTAACGTATAGTACAGTAAACTAAATATAGTATAAATCTAATAAAAGTTCACCATGAGCGTTACACGTTCACGCGATATACTCATGTAAAATTTAGTTAGGTTAGGTACGATATAATTAGCTCTCGAATTTCCGCTCTTGTTGATTTCTACGATGAATTACGAACGCGTTTCGCATTCCAAAATTAAATTATGATTAGATTCGATGCCCATTACGATAACTATTGCCAATGATGAAATAATTGACGGTCACATGGCTGCTGTAGAAGCGGGAGTGCAGCTTGAGCAAAAGGATATCTCTCTGTAAAATTTATATTCTCAACACAGTCCGCGGGTTGCCTCAAAAAAATTTTGCATGAACGAAATACACAGTTCGAGAATTCGAGCAAATTCTGGACAACAAACAAGCTGTCTTACCATTTTGTATGAAGAATTACACGGAAAAGAATGCTCAGCGGAAACATTCAACGACACTACAATGTAAGATAGAAGCGCAACTCCACACACGGATCTCACTTCCGGTTCGCTCGTGTAAAACCATAGACCAAAGAGGATTAGATAGAGTGGAAGATGAGTGCATAGGCATTAAACCACAGTATAACCACA